CACACACACACACACACACACACACACACACCAGAAACAGAGCTGTTTCCTTATCGCTCTATAAAAAATGCGCGCAGCCATTAAGTGTGTCCTCAGAAACACAGTGTCTCTGCTATATTTCCTCAGCCACGGTGAAGTCGCTGTTACGCAAACTCCTGATCTGTGATATTTGGAGGCGGATAACGCAGAAAGTTTCCACAGAGTGAGGATGTGGAGCCTGTGCGCCCTAGAAGCAGAAGAAGAAGCCTGGAGGAAACCATGACGCACAGAGAGGGCTGAGCTCCGTCTGTCAGGGGGGAGTCTGACTTCAGAGACACTTTGTCTTCACCACGTTCAAACGCTTCTTATCCACCAGCGGTTCTCATTACAGTTTCCTGTTGTTGTGTTGAACGAAAGTTACTGAGGATGAAAGTGATTCTGCTCCTGATAGTGTCCTGCCTCGCCTTACATAACGGGAAAGGTAAGTCTGCAATCCATTATCCTAAGATCCAATATAAGAGGTGCAGCTGACTTTTTGATTTAGAACAGCTGCAGAGGAAACAAGTCCAGTCAATGTGTGGAATACATTCCAACGCTTACCAAAAGCAGAGCCACATCCTTCAGGCTCCATCAGTGACTTTCTGACTGACAAGTAGAATGAGTGGTAGTTTCTGTTCTCTGGTATTTGACTGTCTGTGTCAGCACAGCTTGATTACTGACAGCAACTGACTCCCACTCTTTATCTTCAGCTGTATGGTAAATATCTCAACATCCTACAGCAGACTGTGAATATTTTCTGAATCTCACTTATCATGTTCCTTATTAACACAAGATGCTGTGATGAGATCTAAGGTGGAGAAACTTTCTGCCTCTCTTAATTTTTTACCAAATCGGAAAGAGCGCAGGCCTTTCAGTTTCCGGGGGAAGTTTCAATATGGCTTATTGTCATCTCTGTACATGTAAAGGGTTTTTTTGGACTTTCCTCATGACGCAAGTAGCTCACTGTGTGTTTTTTAATATAGGATGGAAATGACCTGGGGAATTCCTGTGATTTAAAAGGAAAAGGAAACTGTGATGTGCTGGAACTGGATTAGGCCTAAAACTGTACAGTTTTGTTTTTGTCATTTTTACTGCTTTATTTCTGATGTGGCGATTGTTTTTTAGTCGACTATTGTCAGGCTTTTAATTTCATACTTCTTGTCAAGGACTTTGTTACATTGTCAGAAAAGCACTCCAGACTGTCATGTTGTAGACTAAAGCCGTTTTTATTATCTCATCTCAAAGACATGACAAAAGACTGATATGTTCTTTTCCTCTTTCCTCTTGGAATATTTGATTTTGCCAATCACTAGGTGACTCTTGTGGTCTTCTTTTAGTTTAGGTGTCAAATAACAGTGCACACCTGAACGCTTGAGGTCTAAAGGCACTGACAACAAAACCTTCACATAGATTACCACCAGTGCATATGAAGCCAAGTTAGGGCTCTGCGCTATGGACTAAAATAATATCTATATAACAATTTTCATATCTGTCAATATTGATAATTATTATGATAAATGTCACAGTATCATTTAGTTTAAAGACTAATATTTACTCCTGAGTAAAGGCTGTGGTTTTTAAACACTTGATAAACAGCAAAACATTTTACAAATCTGAGGTAGATCAAATATATAATATATATATAGATATAGATATAAATTGTACTTTTGTTGAATTGCTATTGATGAAAAATATATTTTGATAATAATTGCTATTATTTTATAGCCCAGCCCTATAGTCCTACTGTTTTTGAAATTAAATCAGTCACGGGATGCCTTTCATCTTTTCACCGATATTCCCAGTTGACATATATGAATAACCTCCATCACTAAAAGTCATAGATTAACTTTGTGAAGTAGAAATGTCACACGCCCACTTTCACAACATTGAGAATTGCTTAATTTGTGTTAAAGAAGTTCAGAGTGAAATTTTATCAGCGGCTAAAGAAAAAACATTATCTTTTGCTTATTGAAGCAACAAAACACTGCTGTCAGCTAGTTTCACAGGATACTAGCGGAACGTAACTCCTTATAGGCAACATTTTATCTCTCTGATCAACTTGCAGTTACGTGTTGAAAAAAACCGTTGAATCCGTTACTTCCTATTCAAAGAGAATACACTGCTCATGAGCTGAAACCCATGAGACCAACTGTTCCTTCACAATGTTGCAGGATAATGTCGTAATCTCCTGAAACACCCTACACACGGAACTAGTAAACCCTAAACGTGGCTGAACTGATCCAGATGAGGATCAGGATGTAGCCCAAGAGAATGTAGACTGCAGTGAATCATAATCATTCACTTTGCATCAATTGATCATTATTGACTTTTCTTTCTCTCTCTCTCTCTCTCTCTATAGGAGCACCGACAACCGCCGTCTATAAGTTTGTGAGATGTAACCCTGATGGCGACCGGGCAAACTGTGTGACTCAACAGACTGCAAAGATGGCATGGAGTGCAGACCTGCCAGCCAAACTGCCCCCTTCAGCTGCACAGTATCTGTTAGTATTCATGTGTTGTGTGCATCTCTTAAGAGACTGAACAAGCAGGGGATGTGGGGGGGTCTTATTTGCTCACTGAATTGCTCGGGGAAAGGTGAGAGCGTCTTGGTAGCAGGGAGTTCGCTCATTTGCAGAAATGATTCTGCGAAAAAACAAAACAACCCTCTCTGCTATACTGCTGTCAGATAAATGCAGACTTTAAATATAGAAATAGTGATTCCACTTTGGATGGCTTACTCTGGTTAACACAACTCCAGCGACACACTATCTATCTGGATGTACTTCTGTGTGTATTTTCATGTGTTGTGTGTTTGAGTGTGTAAGTGTGAGGTAGGTGGCCAAGAAAAGCCAAAATAGAGGACGACGTGGAGGGAGAGAGACAGAGGGGACAGCAGAGAGAGCAGGGAGGTTAGAGCTGGAACAACAAAGACCTGAGGAGTTATTGGTCAAGCTTGCATTCGACCAGAGCACAGAAATAGAAGTATGTGAAGTTTAAAACAGTAGATGTTGATCTGTGGACAGTTGTGTTTCACTTTCCTGTAGTTTGGAATGAAAATGATGAGAAATGCTGTTCTGTTCTCAGCACCAACCTGCGATATTATCCTGATTATTTCAGTTTTATCGTGATGGTTTTATTATGTACTTATTTTGACTTAATCCAGATTATTTAAGGTAGGATTCTGTATCGCCTATGTGCATGTCATTAAAAGATATAGAGAGAAATTAGAGGTGTTATTTGCTAAAAACTGAAAATACTTAGATTTGAATCTGCACTGAGAGTTTATGTCCTCACCCTGATTGTCTGCTGGTTGGTTTGTTTGTGCGGAACGTTACACAAAAACAACAGAACTGATTTCCATTGAACCTAGTAGAGGGATGTGGTATGGGTCAGGTCATTTTGGTGCAGATCCAGGATTGTCTTTAACATTATGAGGCCTTTTTTTGATCTTTCCACTGATTTCTCAGAGAATAATTAATGGATCTTGATGAAAAATCAGACACGATTAAGGGATTTGGTGCTGATCAAAATAAAAATGTGGATCTAGTGAATTTAAATGTTTCATAAGGGCTTTGCTTGGCCTTGGCGGAGGTATGCGCTCTACTCAGTAATATTGTAGTTATATTATGTAGTCATTAAGATCAATCTAGATTATTTACATCTGATTCCTGCATGTATTTGAATGTCATGAAAAGGTGTAAGTAAGAATTTTATTGTATAAAACAAACTGTCGATAGTAGGACTAAAAATGAAGGGTTACATCCGTCCATGAATATCAACATATTAACACACATCCATTTCCCCATGATGCTAGTGTGTGTGTGTGTGTGTTTGTGATAGGGACTGGTTATCTCAGAGGGTTTTCTGGAAGCATACTTGAGCTCTTTGTCGTAAAAACCATTAAAGAGTATATTCAGTTCAGGGGATCTTGTAGAAAACAGAAGCAGAGACCATGTATTCATCAGCTCAGCAGTACATAGACTGATGCTGTGTATCATACCTTCTTCTATTACTATCTGCTGTTGACTCACCTATCTGTGAGCTAACATGTAGTGTCCTGTATTTTTGTCCTGTATTTTTTCAGAGCATGTACATACTTTCATGTCTCTGCCTTAAAAGTATCTTATTATGTTTCTTCAATGTCTTTTTGTCTTTGTCCATGACCAACTCCATCTAGAGACAAGAGCTGAGAAGGAAAGGAAATATAGTTTGACTATAGTTTTGACTAGTTTGAACCTAAGAGGAATTCATTTTATTTTGACCCTCAGTCCATATCGTTACATTTAGTTTAACTGGAAACTTACAAAAGAGAGACCTGCTGGAATTAATGAGACAGTAAAGAAATGCATGGGTGTGTGTGTGTGTGTGTGTGTGTGTGTGTGTGTGTGTGTGTGTGTGTCTGTCACACATATGTTATGTGTAAAAGATGTTAAGATGTGTCTATTGACAAAGTCTTAGTCATCAGTTTCCTCTTTGATAGTTCATCTTATTCCACATATCAGTTAATGACCTCATATTTTTTAAATAAAGACAAAATGTTGAAGATGTTGAAATCACACAGTGGGATTTGAGTGGGTATAAGTAGCTCTACCATTATATACTGTCCACATGTGTAATGTCAGTTAGTAGCACACACCTTTACCAAGGCCCAACAGTCCCATTATGGAACCACTTGTGGAACATTCTAGATTTTAATTTTTAATGACATGCTTTAGTCAACATAAAATACTAAATTACAAATATGGTTTTCTCACAAAAAGTTGACAACGGCAATTACACCACAATACTTCTAAGAAAGTATGAAATTTTGATATCGAGATTCAACTGATGTCTCCTACTTTACTGAACTGTCCAGTCTCAGTATATGTGTGCTGCAACATGACACTTGTCTTGAGGTTGTTTAAGGTGAACACAGAGAAACTCTCTCCCTTCAGCAAATGAATGTGAAAACACGTTTTTAGTGTCAAACTTAATCCCCCCGCCCAGTGACAGTAACAATAACACATGAGTGAGGTTTAACACAGTGTTGGGTGTTGCTGCGTATGTATTTTACAGTTACTCGACTCATGTTGAAGCTGATACTCAAAAAAATGGAGAGAAGCTTATTTACTGTTGTGAGTTTTTAGGTGTTTTCCGCATTCAGATAAGGAGGCAGAGGAGCAGGCAGAGGTGTAAGGAAATAACAATGAAGATATCATTAGGAGGATGATGTCACTGGTTGGTTCGTCAAGTTTTTTTTTCCAACATTTCTTCAGCAAATTTATCAGACAAAACCGAAGCTCTCAACCCTCCTGACCTGCAACTGCTGATTGTTCTAGTATGAAAATAGAAGCCTGGTGGATCTCCTGCTGTTTAAGACGATCATTTACGAGCCACTTTATTTTTAAGATACTGTGGTTTAGGGTTTAATCCCTCAGTTACTGTTCCTCTCTTACATGTAATCTGATACTTGTCAAACACGAGGATCAGACCTGTGTGGCACATAACAACTAACACAAAACAATAGAGTAGAAGCAGTGGCCCACCAGGCGTCAGAGCCCACTTCCTCTCGACACTTCCCTCCTGCTTCCTGTCGAAGGCGAGCTGCTAAAAGGGAGGAGGGCTGCTGCTGCTTATGTTTTATAACAAGCTCAGAGTGATGCAGATAAGGCTCCAACTATCAAAACAGACATTCCATGAGGATAATTTTCATTTTCAAAGTTATTTCCAGTTTCATTCCCTCTCTCTCTCTCTCTCTCTCTCTCTCTCTCTCTCTCTCTCTCTCTCTCTCTCTCTCTCTCTCTCTCTCTCTCTCTCTCTCTCTCTCTCTCTCTCTCTCTCTCTCTCTCTCTCTCTCTCTCTCTCTCTCTTTCTCTCTCACTCTCTCTCTCTCTTCCTCTTCCTCTCCCTTTCCTCTGGGCCTGTTTGCTATGTAATGTTAAAGTTATAACAAGCTTCACACAACCATGTCATTCACATCTAATTTAGTTTAGTGGCAGTTGTTTGGTTCAGAGATGACAGAGTAAATATCACTGTCATCTACCTCATACGGCTCATAAATACACTTTGGATGTTATTTGTGATCTGAAGTATTGTTTCATGACCAATTAAATTCAGAGTTTTTCAGTGGAAATCTTGTAATACATCAGTGGTTTTTCCTCCACTGAGGAGATTGTAATTTCACCCCTTGGTTTGTTTGAATGAGAGGACAGATTACCACAAACTTGGTGGAGGATGTGGTGTGGGTCATTACATTTTGGAGCGGATCCAGATCAGGGGGCAGATCCAGGATTTTTTGTCACTTTAGTCAACACTGTGAGATTTGGTGTTTTTCAACATGTTCGTTGATTTCTCAGAGAATAATTCATGGAGCTCCTAAGAATCTGACATGTTTATGAAAGTGATATTTAGGGGTGTGTACAATTTGGTGCAGATCCAAATAAAGATTAATTCATTTAAATTTGGTTTCATAAATGGGCTTTAGGGCCCTGGCAGAGGTATTCACTCTACTAAGTGCTATTCTTGTCAAGTATTTTATACCTACAACCTACTAAACCACATCACCATTTCTCAATATCTGACTTTCATTCTCTTTTCCAGAGAGTCAGAGCCTGTGGAGGATGAACATCCTCCACAAGAGGAGGAAGAGGACGACATTCCAGTGAATAGTGAAGAGGGGGAGTCACCTCAGCCTGAAGAAGGTTCCGGCGGTTATGAAGGCTCTGCATCAGAATGGCCATCGTTCATAGCTGACCGGCTGCCTTATGAAAGTGAGACAGGCTCTGGAGAGTCCTGGACAAAGGGTGACATGGACATGTACAAAGGTAATGTTGTTTTTTCTACTTCCTCCACCATCTCTAGGTCTGCATGTTTTCTGCTTCTTGATGTCTGAACAGTACTTGTGTGGCTGTTTGCAGGTGAAGACGAGAGGCTCATGAGCAGGTCTGTGGCTGATGATGCAAAACCAGCCGAGCAGGAGCTGAGAGATGACCACTTTCTGCAGCTGTAGACTCCACCCCCACCCTCTCCCAGACACACACATATACACAGGGATAACATCTATTTAATTTTCATCTTGTCCATTATAATCACAAAGTGAATATTGCATCGCCACCTGGTGGTGGAGAAACTCTTCAGGCTAATGATCTCTTTTGATTCTCAGTACTGTTGATGGTAATTATTCTCCTCAGCAATGTTGAAGTATCTGCCAAAGTAAACTTAGGGTCTGCACAAATGAGACATAAACACACTAGTTCAAGTTGGCAGTGGCCAATGTTTGTCCTTTCTTTTGAAAGATGTGTAAGTTGGAAAATGCTTTTTAACATAAATTTTAAAATATGATGTCAAACAATTGTAATGCCAGTGCAATGAGATGGCACCTTAGTCCATGAGTTCAGTCTATGCAAATGTCGTTCAAAGAGCTATTTAAATTATTTCGTCCCATTGATGTCTAATGTTGTGACACTTTCCCAGTGTGTATTGTAGCTTTTCCTGGAAAGTCCTGGTCTGCAAGGTTGGCCAAGATAATCGTGCAAACCCAAACCGCTCAGGAATGATTTCACACAATCTTAACCACTGTGATCTGGAACATATTCAAAATATGTATTATGCACATGTATGTATTTCAACACGCTCTGTGTTGTCTAATATGCATTTGAAATTCTTATAATAAAAAAGGATTTACAACAACTGTACTGTTTTTCAGTGTGTTCTATCCTAAATCTGTTATCAGCTGCAAACAAGGACATAATGAGATGATGCTCCTCCCATCAACATGAGAGAGTGTGTTTGAATGCTGTATATCCATTTGTCTGTTTCCAGAAAAGTTACACAAATCGAATCTTTTTGGGACTTTATCAATTTGTGCATAAATTGTAATATATTGCTGATAAATCTTTCATTTTGAGACAGGGTCTTTTGCAGCAACTTTTCCCCCACAGTTTTACCAGTGAAAAATTAATGAATCTTGATGATTATTTGTTGTACATATTTAGAGAACTGATACCAGTATGTGTAGTTTGTGGCAGCTTGGTTGAATTTAAGGGGACTGTTGGGCCTACTAATTATAGAATGACCAAACAGCGAGCCTGACTGATATGTTGGCAGGCCTGTATTATTCCAAAATTAGCAAAGATCTGAATGGAAATATCAAATCTAAATATCAGTGGGCCTAGTTATTATTCAAATTAAATTAAACATTTATCAGACATGAGGTAAAAATGT